ATAAAATTGCAGTATTTTAACATGTTCCCCCCTTTTACTGAACAGTATGATTTTTATCTAAATTACAGTATGACTGTCTCAATCCCTAATTTCAAAATACTGCCACAAAGTTGAATTTAGAAAGCCAGTTTTCATAGTGAGAAAATCTCATAACTCCACTGACCATATTTCAAAGTAAAAAAAAGCAAATCTTCTTTGAGAATAACAACTTCTTTTCAAAATGTCATACCATTCAAATAGCTAAAGAATCATTTAATTTACAGATACATCAATGATATGCCAACATAAAGAGAGTCACAGTTTTGTATAAGCAAAGAGAAAAACCAAGTCATTTCCATACTTTAAAAAATTGTTTTTATGAGAAAACTTTGAGATTATAGACAGTGTCTAAGTTCTGGTGTCCAGGTTGACACAAAACATTATTTCATGAAGATCTGTATAGTGTCAATAAATACGAACTTTTCTATACAATCCTTATGTGTATCGTAGAGAAACCCAAGTGGTTTTAAAAGAAGCAAAATTGAAACATTTCTGTTTTGCAACATGATCTTCCACTATTTTCAAAGGATGCAACATTGCAAAAGTTCACAAGAAGGAGCAAATGGTATTTGAAACCCTGGATTTCTTTGAAAGTCTCCCCAGGAACTGGGCAGATAGACGCCTCCCAGTACCAGTCAGACATAGCGTCCTACTGTGATGTTAATAAGATAAAGGATGCAAATAGAAAAAGCCACAGTAATTACAGGGGGAGGTAAATACATTTTTTTAAATTTTATGAACTGTCTCTCCATGCAGCCTGCACTTTAAGGCAAGAGCTTTGTTATACTAAATGTGCGTGTTAATTAAACGTTTTTTTAGAATTTCGCCCTTCATTAATAGGTCAGAGAAGAGCCACGATAGGAACAAATCACTGTCAATCATGTAAGACATTAGAGGATGCTTGACCTCCAAACCTCCTAAGTCTTTTGTTCTGCCTTTCAAGAGAGTTGTTTTATCACCAAATTTTCGAATACCTATCACCACCATCAACACCAATTGGTTGCCAGAAACAGCATGCAAATTAAAGGAATAAAAGACTAACTGGACCATTTATTTTATGTGCACCTGGAAGTTACATAAGAAATATGGAAGTAGGCTAGGCTATAAAGTTCCTCTACAATTTATTTGGCTCTCACTGATTCTCTTCTGTTGGAAATTCGTGTCAGGAAAGAGACGGAGACAACCCTGACAATCAGCCAAGTGTGAAATTCTCTATTTAGTCATTATAAACTGTCACAATAATCATGATTATTTAGCTTAATTTGGTTTCCTCAATATAGAACTGAAAAGGAAAGAACTGAATTCTGATTTGCTGAACCCCAGAATGTCTGAAATTCTGAAATGAAGTTCTTCTGCAGAAGCTTGGCATGAGCATATTTTCCTAAACGTATCGAGTGAGAAGCATGAGGATTGTCAGGAAGTAGAGATTTTTAGCAAAAGGAGCAAGCCTGTATTTAGATTCCTAGCTGGTTTGACTAATTGGTGTGGAGCGAAGCAAATTAGTGGCCCTAATGCAGACCGTTCAAAGCCATATGGGGAGCACGCAGGTTATGATCTGATGCTCCGTAATAGTAGCAGTGCCCTGGTTGCACATTCCGGGAGGCAGTTAGATAAAACGAGCATGTGTCCCTGACCTTAAGAAGAATCCCTCCTAGGGCACAGTTGCAGCTCTCAGCATATATAATTCACTTAACATTTACTGCTTTACAGAGCTTAATAACGAGGATTTTGTCCCTTCAATGATAGAGACTGAACAACAGAGATGCAATCTGCTACAAATAATACTCAATAAATGAAGGAAGGGCTGAATATGCCAGAGAGTCTTTCCCACAGCTCTCCAAGGGTGTGCCCTGTGGTTTCATTGCTCCGTAGAGTAAGGCTCATTTAGGGAGAAGAGGCCAAAGGGAACGGCATCCTCACAGCAAGTTTCATATTCCACTCTTATTAGGAGAGCACACCCACGCTGCACAGATGTAGCGAATATCCTTAGTATCAACGTCAGAAACATTCAAAACGGTAGAGAATTTTTCTGAGTTTATTTGAGCCCAACAGACGACAATTGCCCAGAAGCAAAATCTCAAACAGATTGAGAAATGCTCCCAAGAATGGCAGTTTAGCACCTTTTTTTCTACATCACAATTGAAAGAAGAGGCATAAGGTGGTTACTGAAATCCACTGGTAACAACAAATTAGGGTGGAGGGAGAAGGCAAAATGGGACGAGTCTAAGATTAGATAAAAAGTTAATGATAGACACATATTTTTACACCAGTGGGTGCGGGACAGCTAACAGCCAACAATTAACAGGATAATAGTAACAATCGGGATTTGTGGCCTCTGCGCTGGAGGGTGACTGTGCATTGAGAGGTCTGGAGAAAGGAAAGTTACTTTGTTATTGCAAAGGCGTGTTTATGGTGTGATATCCTAGATGCAAAAAGACCACTCACAGGTTCAGCTTAGGTGAAGATTGACCTTTGTTAGGGAAAAATACTGCCTTGAGACAAAACCGCCCACCATGAACAGCTTTTAGTGAAACAGTTTTATTTCAGACTATCCTGTGTGGTTACTTTAAGTCTTTGAATTTGGAAGGTCACCACGCAGGCCTCCCCTGAGCTTGTCAGGTTAATATGTGGTCCCTTTGCTTCCACACTAGAATAGAAAACGTTAGAATTGGAAAAGAAAGGAACTGGTCACCTAATTCAATCCCCACCGTGGGCAGAAAATGACCCTAAAACATTCAGAAATTTTTTTCTTTTTTTAAATTATTTTTTATTTATTATACTATTTTTCTCCCTTTTGCTTGCAATTTTTCCCACTCTTGCTCCCCTCCACCCCACAGGCCCCCATTCCCTAAGTCCATCCCTGCATCATTGTTCACAGCCGTGGATCATGAATGTAAGTTCTTTGGCCACTCCATTTCCTATACTGTACTTTTCATCTCATGGCTATTCTTTCTCTTTTTTAAGTTTATTTATTTATTTGTTTGTTTGTTTATTTATTTTTAGGGAGGGGGAAGAGAAGGAGAAAGGGAGGAAGAGGCTCACAACCCCAGCACATGCCCTGACTGTAAATCAAACTGGCGACCCTTTGGTTTACAGGCCCACACTTAATCCACTGAGCTACACCAGCCAGGGCTCATACAACATCCAGGATTTTATAGCACTCCACACCTCCAGGAATAAAAAGCTCTCTGTATTGACAGGTCCAAACTACTTTTGCACAACTGTGACCGTGAGTAAGTGCTACCTTTTCCAGAACCAGCATCTGCCCTCCGGGGCTTCTCTCCACTGGCATACTCCCTGGGACTCCATCCAAATTGCTGTGAGGGTATTGAACAGAGCAGGGCCAGAACCCGGCCCCTCCAGACATGCAATAAGGCTCACCTAATGGTGAGAAGGCAGCTCCCTGCAATTCCTGAGCTGTAGGCAACAACCCCCATCCAACTCAAAAGCGGGACTGGAAGATTCCTTCTGAGCAATTTCACTTTGGTTGTGAGTTATTAGCACTTCCTCTTTTAAGTGCCAGCAGACTGAACAACTTTTCTAGAATCTGGCTGGGGAAGAAGGAAGGGTGCCAAAACTGATTCATACACTTCTCAATGTGGTCAAGGTTAACGGGAGGCCTACAGGAAAGAAGTTCAAAGCTCAACATCCCTATAAAGTTATAATTATTCCATGGCTTGAACATTTTGGAGGAAAGCTGATTTGACACTCGGCATTTCCGCACAGGACAAAATCTCTTACGAGACCATCTACACTTTTAGTGACGTTTTAGAACATCTTAAAACCATAACAAATAAATAAAACCTGTGCTGGAGAGCCAAGGCTTTGAGATACTGTTTAAGTTCTATTTCCACAAAATACACGTATCAACCACTTTTTGCTTCAAGTGCTTTCGGAAGCCTCTCTACTCAGCATCTGGCTTCAGCGTCTCTACTCTGGCTTTTCTCCAAACTTCTCTGACGTCTCTTCGTTAGTCCCATTCACTGTCTTCTCTTTCTCCAACTATCCGTAGTTATTGGTGGGTTTTCTCATTTTCTCTGAATTCTTTCCTTCAGTGAAGACTTCCCCTGGTTTCAACAACTACCAAACAGCCAACAACTCCACAGTCGGTACTTCCAGCCCTGACTTCCCCCTGGCACCCTGGACGTGTGAGTCTGAAATCTCATGCTCTCTCAAGACTATACTTTCAGAGATCATTTCTATAGTTCGTTAAAATCTCATGCTGTCTCATGCTGCCATGGGGTCATGCTGGTCATCATGCCCCACTGTTCAGGGAGGCCCTTTCCTCCCACCTGTCCCTCTGACACAGCTCACCTGCCCTTCACAGTGCAGCAGAAATGTCCATTCCCACACACATATTAATTAGCTGATACTTATCTCACTGTACTCTATCTTCCATAAGCAAGCTCTTTGAGGGCAAGAACTGCCTCATAGCCGTCATTCTATCTCTAGGACTTATCACAAGGAATGAATTATATCAGGAGCCAAATAAAACAGTACTGGAATGAAATTAGTTTCTCACAAAAGGCTGAGGTGCTTTATGCTGGTGCTCACAACCCAGTCACCGGATATATTAAGCAAGTGTTTTTTCATATGAGTATTTGCTGTGTGCACCTACAAAGCCTGCATGGTGTATCCCACTAAAGACCTGTTCCAAATGCTCCCTGGGCCCCTGGAGGCAGAGCAATCTGTGAAAGCCTCTCCCCCCGAGCTAAAATCTTAGCAAGTGTGCCTGGATAATGGCATTGAAACTAGCCCTTCACCTCTCTCTTAAAATAACCCAACTACCACATTCTCACTGTGAATGAGAATATTTGTCTGAGTTCATAAGATGTTTCAGTGAAATGTTCTGCAAGCTATGAATGTAGCCACCTCTAACTAAACAAATTGTTGCATAGGGTCTCAAAGTAAAACCATACCATTTTAATGCAAATTAGGCATGAATATCTCATGCCCCGCAGTCCTTCTTGTGTTTTCTAGATTCCCAAGATGAAATGCTCCAAGTGTTGTGCTCCAGGTATTAGTGACCGAGGCACAGTGAGAACCACGACAACACACGGAGGGTTCCAGGTCCTGGAGGGGCCGTAAGGAAATGTGCAATGAGACATCGCTGGGAAGGCAGTTAAGGACAGACACTAAAATGTTAGATGGAGCCAATTTTCCAGGAAAAAGAATGTAAAGAGATCTGCGGTGACAGGAAGAGCATTAAAATGAAGGAAACCTATAGGATATCATGGGAGGGAATGTCCCTCCCGGAGCAAACCGCAGGTAACAGCGGGAAGTGCGCTGCGGTGAAAAGGATGAAGGGGTTAGGAACGAGAACAACTCTGCCTCGGCCACGTGCTGGGTGTGGACGCGCGCTCCACCTACACGCCCCGTGTTTTTAATGAGGATGCTTACTTTGAAAACAGCACTTTCTTCTCTAATAAATTTTGGTAGGGACTGAATGTTGAACCCCAAGCTCCAGTGTGATAGCATTTGGAGGGGCCTTTGGGAGTCGTGTTTAAAGAGGTCATGAGGAGGGGATCCCCTGGTTGGGAGTTTTGCCCTTATAAGAAGAGGAAGTGACCAGAGCTCACTCTCCCCACCCCCCATGTGGGGATGCAGAGGAAGGTGACCATCTGCCAGTCAGGAAAAGGATTCTCACCAGGAACTCAACCGTGCTGGCTCCGTAATCGCGGATCTCCCAGACTGTGGACGATAAGAAATAAATGTTTCAGCAACCTAATCTGATATTTTGTTAAGCAGCCCAAGCTGATTAAGAAAAATGTTATGTCTCCCCCTGTATGAATACCATTCTGCTGTAAATAAGCCAAACTGTTACTGTAGGTAATTAACTAGTTATCATTAATAAAGGAAGCAAAGGGAGTTAGACATGGAGCTTAATAAACTGGGGAGCATGAGGCTATTTGCTTCACTGAGAAGCTACAGGTCGGCACCCCAGGGGATCATAGCACTGCTACACAAAGGGGATGAACACTCCTCCCTTCTCCCCCGGTACCAGATTATTGGGGGGCGCAGGGGGCGCCGCTTGACCATGGAGGCCCATCAGTCTAACTAGGGAGCGAACCCATCAAAAGCCCATGAAAGCTTGGGAAGTTAATCGGCTATTTTGAAAAAGCACCTGGTCCATCCCAAACCCAGGCTAATATAATCCTAAAAGGAAAAAAAGAAGCGCTCACTCTTTCTCTCTCCCTCTTTCTCCCCGCCCACCAGGAACCCACACGAGGAGCAGATAACCACGTGGGTGTAGCAACCGCTGGGCCTGACTGCAGGCTGTGTGGGCTCCAAAGGACTTTGTGTTGGTCGTGCTGAAGACAAGGTTGGACTTTTTTCATAGCAGCAGAACAAAAGGAAATGGGAACCCAGTAACCCAGGGATAGATTTCTACCTGGATAAATCATATTTCCAAGCAACAACTTTCCATGAGTGGGTCCTTGAAGTGTTTTCTTCATAATCCCATGGAAGAGCCTGGTTTCTGCTGGCAACAAAACTAGTGTTTCTCAGCACTTCCCACTTCCAACTCACAGGTTCTTGAAAATAATATCTGAATCATGTAATTTCTTGCCCTTTCTTTAAATTTTGTGTATTTGGATAAGATGGAAAGTAAATATGTATAACATGGCAGAGGATGAATCAAGTTTATATATGAGTATAAAATACATTCATTCAGAAAAAATCAAGATCAGCATATAAGATCAGCAATATTATACGGCACAGTAAGAAGAATGTATACCTGTACATAATTACAGCAAGTACTGCTTTTATTTGTCTCCATTCCTTTGGCACTTAAGTCTGCAGGAGAGATTCTTTGAGGTCAATGAGCACGTCTACCAGATTTGGAGGATGTGATGTTGAGAACAATTCAAAGGAGTTCCATTTTCTAACATAAATAAATGTCTTGAGATTTAACAATGTATAACACCATAGGTAAAAATGAACAATGTAATAAAAAAACTTGAGTGTGCCATTACATGGCCTTGGATTTCTGATAATTATGCCCTTTTTCCAAACCTATTTGGGGCTCAGGTATAATTAAAACAGTACTTACTGACAGTAGTAATGTTTTCCATCAAAAACACAGGAAATAGCAACATAGATGAGAATATCTGTAAAGATCTTTTAATGTCATATAAAATTTTATAGAAAGATAGCTTTTTAAATTTTTTAAATTTTACTTTTGAATTGTAGTTCACATTCAGTATTATTTGGAACTAGTGTCAGCTGTAAGAGATAGCTTTGAAAATATATCTATCCTTCCAGTTGTAGGTTCCCTATGACGCTAGCCACCATCTCAAACAGGATGGCAATGAGCTTTTTTAGACTTTATTTTCCAGCTTTCAGCGATCACAGTGGAGCGAAATTCACATTGGGCCACTCCTGTTTGGACCACAGCCCTTGGGGTGCCCTGCTCTGCCTCTGGTATGAGGTTACTGGTCGGTTCCATGGAATTCTCTTCCTCCTCACCCATACCTTTCGCTTCCAAGGAGGAGTGTTACAAATGTCTAAGACCAAAGGGAACACTGGTGCCTGCTTTTAGTCAGGGCGTTTCATTGCTTTCTGAAATACAGACTGACCCTGGTTCTCCCTTCAAGGTGACACCTTCTCCAGCTTGTCACTATTGAAGGCACACCAGTGTCTACTCCTCACATCTTTCCAGTACAGGCTGACCCCATTTCATGGACAGCATGAATTCCTCATGGACTGACAACAAACGTTAAAGAATAATATCACCATGGCTGCAAGCATGGTGAGGAAATGCAGAAGCTAAATCTCCAGTGCATTGCCATTTCCTTTCATAATAATTTGCAGTTGTGAATTAGTGTAACTCCTGGATGCCTTTCAAGGAGCAGATACAAGTTTAGTGAGAGCTGTGGCTCATTGACTATAGTGAGAGCGTATGACTTTAGTGAGTTGTATAAGGTGATGAGTTAGGTTAAGTTAAAGCAAACCTCGAAGCATAATTTGATTGGTTTTTCCTCCATCAGTGATGGTTGCTTAATAATCACTTTCTGTCTATTATATCAATAAATCAAGTGCAATTCAATTTTAATCTGTAAATAAAGTTAAATCAGAGCTATGAGGGTATTACATGCCCGCATTACCTATCTAGAGGTGTCATTACTGCCTGTGATTATTGAGCTGAATGTAGTCTTTTTAGTTAAGTTTTAGTTTTAAAGAAGCTGAAACAAATTTGTTCGGTGTTCTTACAAGAAACACCATACACTCTGAGAAATTTGTACCTGCCTGAAATTGCAAACATAAATTATATAATATCAGAACAAATAAGGATTTCTAGCTTCAAGCACCAAGCGATATTATTTTCAGATCATCAGTAGGGATGCAGGGAACACAATATAGAATGAAGTTTAAATGCTCCTCACAGAGAAGGGGAAAAATGGGTCAATATTCCCATCTCAACCTGAGAAATTAAAGCTAGAAAAAAACCCAGTCTATCAGCTTGCCACACTGCACTGTGCTCACAGCTGGACCCCATCACACAGGCGGCATTACAGCACTTAGCACATTATGGGTGCTCAATAAATATTACAGAACGCTATTAACCCGTCGGCACACGTGGCGAGACACTGCAGGCTCTAAATCTCTGACATCATGGGACGTGTCCGTGCGAATGTAAAACACAGGAAGCTGGATGAAAGCGTCAGCCCGGGAGATGGAAAGAGAGGCTGGCCAAACCTCTGTGGGGATGGTGAGGGAACCGAGACAACCGGGACCACTGCCGTTAGCTCTGTGTCGACAGATCGATTCCTTCTGAGACCAAAATCGGCTGAAAAAGGCCGGGGCGCAGTTTTATAGCAGCTGTCTTTGACTCACCGCACTGGCGTGTCAAGCTGCTGAGAGGTAAACATCCCAGACCGGTGTGCTCCGTCTCAGCTGGGTTATAGAAAATGACGTGCACACATTCTGAATAGGACTATATACATGTTTTGTTTTGTTTTTCACATGAATAAGAGAAACTTGAAGAAATCACCCATAACACCTTTTAAAAAGCTGAGCTTAGCACATTCATGCTCCAAATTAAACTTGAACACTATTTCATAGGGATTTCAGGATATTAACCAGAATTTACACTAAAAAAAAAAAAAAAAAGATTCAGATGAACATGGGACTTTTAGGATAAATGTAATTTCCCTAAATCCTATTTAACTTTTGTGTTGTCAAAACCACTCCCCTTTGAATAAATTACTTCAGTTAAATCATCAAGCCTTAATTTAATTTTTTTTAAGTTTTGCTTCCTTGGTTATATCATGGGAAAGTTGAAGAATATAGAGTTCACCACCAGGATACCCGGCACCAATGTCAGCACAGTGCGAGTTTAACTCCACTGTGAAAGCAGCAAAGAAAACACACACCGACTTGTGTGGCAGCGCGGGGCCGGGAGCTGAAGGAACTCCAGGGCAGACCTAGAGGGCTACATGTGCCCAGGGTCTGCATCTGCCTTTCCAGACGACATGCTAACACGAGCTCATGGGTGCATCCTAAGTGCATCTACTGGAGACAAGTGCTTTTTAGCTTCAGGATATAAAAAAATAGTGGGGAGAAATGTAAAATTATATACAGGGTCCAGCAGAAGTAAGGGTTGAGTGTGGTTGGTGGCGTATGTGAATGTCTCACACAAAATGGACAGCAATTTGAACATTTCACCTAAATTGTCATATGGGGAGCTTCAGCATGATATTGTTATTTTACAGAATTACATGCTTATGATTTTGTAATGAAAAGGGAAATTATTTGTGCCAGACCCTGTATATGGAGTATATACATATATAATTACATATCAATATACATACATACATGTATGTGATAAGTGTGCATACATGTGTGTCTATGTGTGTGTTTATGTCTATGTGTGTGTGAAGGTGTTCAGCCATGTAATATGAAAAATAGAGACATTTATGGAGGAAGATACAAGAAACATTGTACATAAGATGATGACACCTCAGTCCCCTTCAAAATAGACACCTTGGGACCTCACACAGTTCTCCGATCTTTGCTGATTGCAGCCTGCACATGTTCAACATTCTCAGATGTTCTGCTTGTTGCAGTCCTTCCAGAACGTGAATCACTTTCGACAGATCCTCGACCATCTTCGTAGTGTTCGTGAAACACTTTTACTTGTGTTGCATTCATTGCTCTGCCCCAGAAGTCAGACAGAAGAACCACTACCCTGGTGCCGCTCACTCCAACAACACTGAACGAACACAAATTGTGTGGTTTCCATGCATCAAACTCATTTCCAAGCACTGTCGACACCTCCTCCACTCACCTGCAGTCTTAGTCAGCTGCCTAGACCGTCCCTTACATCCTCACCTGTCCACAGTGATTCTAAGCCTTGGGGGAATACAGTATTTTTCAAAATAAGATGGGTCCCCTTTTCACATTCAGCAATTCGTAATTAGCTAGCATTTTAACTTTGCCAGAAAACTCTGTAGCTTTAACTAATTTTGGAAAACTGGTATTTTACAAATTCATTTCTATTTCACTTATCTGGCATTCCTTACACTCATAAGCAACCACAGCTTATATTCAAAATCTTCCATTCTCCTTCCTGGGAAAAATGCCATATAAAAAGAATCAATATACAATCTCCTTTCAGAGAAAAGAATATGGTAATGTCCTCTGTTTTGTGACACTAGCCACCAATCTTTGTCAAATGCGGAACATTAACGAAAGTGGAATTGTCGTATTCCCTCTACATGATAGAACAAACGAAGGAAGAGTTATAATTTCCCTTTACCATTAGCCAAGTGGTCTCTACCCTGACATAAGAGAGTTAATGAGCATAGGATATTGAAATCTTTCCACTGGAGATCTTTCTGTTGTCCAGATGGTTCAGCACTTCTAGAAATAATGATTGTTGCATATAGCTATGCTGGTATGCACCACACTCCTATTAACTTTTCCTTAAAATAACAATGGAAGTAATTCATAAACTGAGTAATGGCAGGAAACCTTAAATTTACCAGAGTTGTGGAGTTTGTGTTGGAAGGGGCTGAGGGGGCGTCGTGTCCACTATAATAACCTTGACAAGTTCTGGTTCAGCTTGTCTGTGGTAGGAAAATACTTCCCAGAAAAATTGATTACATCATTGGATGACTTTAATCATTAGGAGCTCTTTGCTTTAATCAAAATATTAACAGTAGTTAGCCCTAGGGAAGTGTGATGAGAGAAAACTTTCACTTCCATATTAATTGAATTTTCAGAATGATAATATATTAATTCAAAATAAATGATTTAATATCTGACTTCTGTTACTTTCCACTCATTTATCCTTGTTTTACCTGATAAGAGCGCCAAGGAGTATAGATGAAATCTTCCCATTTGGTCGCATTAAGACAGATCAATTCGCCTCAATCTTTGCTTCTTTATAAAGAATGGATTCCATTCCTCCATGAGGTATTTTTCTGGTGGATACTATTGAGAGACAATTGTCCCAAGCTCTCTGACATCTTTGCACATTTTGAGAGCAGAGCACTTACTGCCACTATTCCAGATCATCTTTTCAACAATTTTGGTGAAATAAAAGTCTTAGAAGATGAAAACAATGTCTCCTTCTGGAACAAAAGGCAGGCATACTTCACGCCCACTATAAAAGACTTAGGCTCCATAAACTTAGGGTCCCTCTCCTGTAGAGCAGCTTATTATTAGTGCAGGTGTCACCTGGCCCTTTTTATTTTTTCCTGGTGGCAACTGGGGCTTGGGGAAGGTTCCAGAAAATCCAATATTCTAGGTGCTAATATTGCTCTTACTAATGAAGCCCATCATCTATGGCCCCAGAGTCTCCTGCCTTCTGGCAGCATCCGTGGAACTGTCAGGCGCACAGGGAACTGGGAAAGCTTGCAGAGATGGCAAACTCCCATCCCTTTCCCAGTTTCTTACAGGTACTGTACACAGTTCAATTCAAAATATGTCCTTGTTTGCCAGGAGATTGTATTCTAAAAAATGTCAGACTTGTACATTTTTGAGGGAGAGGTCATTGGAAAAGCTTAAAACAGTATTTGAATGCTAAAAATAAACAAAATATAAAGAAAGAGCAGAGTTACCTGGTCAGAAGCTCTACTCAGCAAAAAGTAAAACAGAATTGTCAGATACATTGAGGAAAGATGGAGTGTCCTATGATTGTGAA